GCTATAGATGCACTCCCCACTTACCTATTCTAAAAAATGGTGTGTTCACCCCCCGCCCCCTAACCCTATTTGAAAAAATTCTGGATCCACCTCTGCCGCCGTCGTCTCTAGTGCTCAAAGGGAGCGGAGTTGGATTCGTCGTACGACGCAGTGTGTGCCCAGCTTTAGTAAAATGTGTGTCAATTGGCAAACATGGTTCTGATTTTTTTACAAAAATATTTGTATTACCTTTCATGTAACTTATGAGCTAATTTGAAATTGTAAGATTAAGGAATTTTAAGATTTTCGTAGTAATGTCAACAATTTTTTTTTTTTTTTTTTTGTGGCTCAGGTAAGTTCGGTTTCCATACAATAACAGTCGCTACACCATTTTCACTGCAATTCTTGCACTGCGTGTGTCCCCGACGCGGAACGCTCACTGATTCAATTGACAAATCAGTAGCACCAAAGTAATACTGAATTGCCTACTTTGTATAGGCCTATGTAAGATTCGATCTTCAATTTGAAAATTTGAATGAAAAAAATGCAAGCCTCCGGTATGCCGTGGCTGCAAACAATTTAAAGTTTTTAAATGATAATGATATAAATCAACAAGAACCAAATCATTTGGATTTGTAGATCATAAAGTAAAAGAACGCATTAGATCCTTTCACAAATATGTTTATATAGGGATGTTCCAGATTTTAACTGGATGCTCTAGTTTTCTACTCCGCGAAATATATATAGGCCTAGGCCTATTGTGGAAAACTTTTTAACTGTCAACGATATATGGACTTGAGCGTGTTCTTTAGCCTGGTTTCTTTAAAATTGGTACACTGTCTCTACATTGTTTTCATTGCAATCGTTGTACTGCGTAGCAGACGTCGCCGACGCAATCGGAAGGCTCCCCGATTCGACAGACCAATCAGCATCACCAAAAGCTGTTGGGTGTAGCGATTGTATGAAACCAAACTTGTCATAAAGAATGAAAACAACGAAATGCATATTAAAATTATATAATACTGTACACTCATGTTATATCGTGTTAATTTTCCATTATATAATTTATGAGAAATCAATTTTGTATGAGGAACATATACAAATAAATAAATAGAGGTAGACCTTTGTTTTATATTTGAGAGAAAATTTACGTGGTCGAATGTGACACAATGATAAACATTCTTTTACAGGTGGATCTGCGCTATATAAATATTTTTCATAATTCTATAATTGAGTGCCTTCCTCTTTATTGAGTACAATGCTATTCAAATACTATATTTATATTTTACTATTATCATCATCATAATTACTATTATTGTAATTGTTATATTATCATTATATTATGTTTAAATCAATAATACATTAATTGATTTCGGAGTAACAATAGGCTTAATGGCTTGACGCTGTTATAGCAAATTCGATTAGGCTTAAATGACCAAGCTTTCGCTGTTGATTGGCTGCCAAGAACTTGACGCTCCAATTTTAGCTTTCAGTGTATTTATTTGGCAGTCCATAAATCGTTTTACATTTTGAGGCTACTAATATTGAAAATAATTTTCAAAGATAACAAATGCGAATAACATTGAAACTGAACATGTTAATATAACAACGTTAAAATATTTATCTGCTCAAATACGACAGTTTGTTCAAACTTACATTTTGTTGGGGGATTTTTTCGAAAGAAGGACTGGAATAGCTGTGCAATAAAACATTTGGAAACTGTGATTCGAGTTCCTGTTGCAGTGTTTATTTAGGAGAATATTTATAATTGCAAACAGGTTTAGAAACAGAATATCGTCATAATTCAATAAAGCAGTTCGAATTTCTATTGATTGTGATGCATTCCTCGCATGTTCTAAATTAATATTAGGCTAATTTCATCGACGTTTACACCCAATGTACTTACTACCTGGAGCCAATGTTTTAAGAGATTTAATCAAATTGAACAAAATATGACGCAAATATCCCGACTCATTAAGCTCATTAGTTGGCCGCTGTTCAGTTTGTTTCGGTGAAAATAATAATATAGAAACATCGTTGCTTAGCCATCTTAAGCCTACTTCTACCTGACGGTATCAATTTGAGCTGATAAATAGTATAAACAAAACTGAAAATTAAATAATAATAAAATAAACATACTACTGACTGTAATGTCTTTTTATATTATCATGATGATGAGGGTGATGGAGGCGGTGAAGAGGATGATGGTGGTGATGATGTTATTGATAATAATATTAATTTATTATTATTACAGTAGAACCCCTCCTTTGGAACACCCTAATTAAGGGGACACTTGTCTGTGAAACAAGGGGCAATATATCTTTTAACATTACAGCTAACCCCTATTAAGGAAAACCACTATTAAGGGAATGGGGACACTTTTTGAGTGTGCAAAATGGTCAAACAGGGTTAAATTGTTAACTGAGAACACGACGGAACATACAATATACCTACTACTAGAACCACTTGTATGATGAATAAAAATTTTAATTGGATTTGCTTAAAAAACACCGTAGGACACTTACTGGCCATCAATGCCTAGTAGAATTTGGCATCTTCCATATGTGATTAATGTTGTAATAAATAAAATATACGAGGTAGGCCTATTCAACTTGTTCATTCATTCATTCGGCCGAAAGATTACAGTAACAAAACATGCAAAGATTAAAAATGACAAAATATGACAGAAAAAGTATTGGAAAACATATTAACAAACATTGGTTAGGATAGTCCAAGAAAACAAATCAGGTTTATTTCCATTGGGGTCCTGTGAAGTGACGTAAATACATCAGTTCAGATAAAAAGACGCAATGCTAAATAGGATTTAAACGTATTTGCATAATAATAATTTAAATAACTCAGTTAAATTTACTAATCTAATTAGGGCCTCTCTTGGTAGAGAGATGGCTTTTAACTAGTTTACGGAATATCGACTTGCTGGTTGTTTCTTTTTTAACTGTTGGTAATTTATTCCATTTCTTAATACTACTACTGGCATAAAATTGGAATTTATTATTTTGGAAGCAAAGAGAACAAAAAGAATGTTTACACTAGTTCTCGTGTTATGTCTATGTCTATCATTAATTCTGTGAAATTCGGTCCTAAAATAATAGGGGGCAGTGGCAATAATTATTCTGTGTACATAATTAATTTTAATTTGTGTAACTCTATCTTCTACATTAAAAAAGCTTAGACTATATCCAGTTCCATGACTTATATTGGTCTGTTGTTCAAATAAGCATTGCTATTACAGCCACCCTCTCAAAATATTGTCGAATAAATGAATAAATAAATTCAGCCTGCGATGTCAAAAAAGTTGGGGTACGGTACTCTGTCAGCCCGGAGCTTATATCGAAGCAGGACAGTACTATAAATTAATTGTGTAAGAAACGTATGAAATAAGACCGACAACTTACGAAAATACAAATGAAAAAGGAATACTTTTAAATAAGGAAAATGGAATAGGAGCAAACTCATGATTCACATTGCATAATAATAAACTTTTTTTCTCTCTCTTTCGTGGGGATTTCACCCACCTTAGCTTATGATAATTTATTAGACCTGTGTATAACCTAAACAATCAGGAACAACCCTAAACAATTCAATTTAACTCAGGTTGTTCACTTAAAATAATAAAATAATATCAACTATAAATAAGACATGGTTTTGATGATTTACATACGTTTCTCATAGATTATTTTATTAATTAAACCTAAAGGTACCAGTCAATTTAAGGATCTATACGGTAACTTTCATGATCGATATTATGTATGCGTCTGTTTGGTGAGGAAACATCTTGTCGTTCTGCTTTTTTTCCTCAAAATTTAATAACTTACATGTAAGCAGTTCAAATATTGAATACATATAATGTATATTTTCTCATCATGACTCAATATAGACATATCAATAAATCATATAACTAGTATAAAAGAAAATTTATTTTATTGACATGCTATACAAATGTCATTTATTATTAGTATTATTATAATGGACAATAGGTAAATCTCTACATAATTAGGCCTGAACGTATGTCGATTGAGTCGAAGAATCAACACAACTTCTTTCTAAAATAGATTCAATATTATTGTTCTCGTATTTTGATGTATGTCAAGATGACTAACCATGATCATTTTATATACATATATATATATCTGTCTCTTATACACATCTAGATGTGTATAAGAGACAGGGACTGAGAAGGCCAAACAATCCAATATCTACATAAAGAACTACTGTAGTAATTACATACCTCTGACATTAACTGAAGAGCAGGATATTCCTGCACGACGTTGTTTATTGACACTGGATTTTCAAGAAT